GACCGGCTACTTTGCGTTAACATATTATCCAAATTAACGATTGAGCATGTTGCATCATTTATTAAAACGTTTTCAATATGTTACATTATTGTCCATTATGATTTGTATACAGCTATATATATTTTTTTAATGCAGTTATCGATCACTTTACTTTTATTATAATCTTTTGCCAATCTTTTTTCTCGCGCATTAATAGAATTATTATTTATTCACACGGCCCGGGACGATATTCTATTAAAATGTTAACACTATTACAATTTACAAAAGACCACCTGTTATCTGTGTAAATGACTATATTACTATACACAATAAGATGTATACTGGATATCACTATACATCTTATACAATTACACCATCGGCCGTGTATTGGTCGTTCTGCACACTAAACAAGATAGCATTGTGGTATGTGTGGGTGATGCGTTAATAAAACCATTAAAACACTTCTTATGTGTTATCTTTTGTACTTCTTTATAATAACCGTTGAATTACCAAGCGAAAACGTCAAAAGAAATAGAAATATTATCACACAGGATGTAACTTAAGACCTACTATGTTTGTAGAGTAGGATTTTAGAAAACTGTAATAATCTTAACGATTTCTCAAATATATATATGCGTGTATAAATATGAACTTATATTACATAGGTGTTTATAGTTAATAAATGTAACCCAAAATATACTTGGTCAGACAAATAAGTACAATTGTATTATATGTCTAGAGTCTAGACATAATTACAAAACGTTTGATGTCTTTACTAGTATCTGTTCACTGTAGTGTCGTACAAATCGACCATAAAAATTAAATATGTTTTTTTTTTTTTTAATGCATCTTATATATCATCTTAATGATAATGAGTAATTAGATATTAATCGGCCATATCGATACAAACAAATAATAATTATAATAATTAAAAATAAAAACGCATCATTGTAAAAACAATATTTTCTAAGGCCTAAGTTCCGTATCGAAGCTAAAATTAAACTAGTTACCTGATAAATAATTATGTTATATTTACTAATATTATATTACTGATTATGTATTAACACTCAGTAACTCATTTACCCCGCCACAAGCATGCTTAATGGGGTAAATTAATCAAAACGTTAATAATTGTAATTTATATTGTAACGTATAACAATGATTTATATCAATAAAAAAAAATATTAAACAACTTATAAATGTAAGGAAAAATCAATTTTGTATCAATGCATCAACAAGGTTGATACATGTATAGAAAAGTACAATGCCCACATCTGATCTCCGAGTACAATATTTTAGTTAACTGCGGCTAGCACCCCCCCACCCTCTATTGTGAGGAGGCCCGGTTAAGAAATACATAATATATTATTACTTTTCTTTCGAACCGCCATTTTGACATTTTGTAACTATAATTATATGTTACGGTTGTCATTTTTTTCCCCCGGCCCACCGGTTTTCTGTTGTTCTCAAACACTCGTACATAATATGTATTATGTATATGATAGTTGGACACAACGTTTAATTTGTTTGGGAGGAGGAGGAGGTACAGGAAAATCTCTATACACACCTTCGAGTCGCATGTCGGTGGTAAACGAAATGTCCGGCAGAAGAAGAAAAACGAACAAGGCCCCCGGGCGCCTAATATCTAAATATGGGACTATCCATATGCACTGCGCGCATAATAATAATATATTTATAGTGCATTTACACAAATCTCCAGAAAGAGGAGTCGGCCAAGTTTAATTACACGTTCGCGTCGTGTCGTTTACAATAATATACCCGTGAGACGCCGAGGCTAAGACCCCGGCGACGAGTGCATGACCGCCTCCTCCTTCTTTACCGTGCCCCGACGACCATTGCCTTGCTGCTGCTTCGAGCAGAGTAGACGTTACTCTGAGAAAGAAAGAAAGAAAGAAAAACAAGAGACGGAGAGCATAAAAAAAAAAGCAATCCACCGGTAAGCACGTCTTCACTATTATAATAGCGGTCTACCGTATGCATGGGAAGTATTGTATGGGGGGCGTTAACGCGCGTATAAGATATATTATAATATATGTATATACATTATATTATACAATACATGTATAATATTCGTTTTACTCTGCGGCGGCGGCGGTTGCCATCCGTCCGTTCCCCGGACACGCTTTATATGCGCGGACCCCGTATAGCACCTGTCTGCAGAGGGCAAGACTGAGAGAGAACGAGAAACGTGACAGAGAGAAGCGACCTGTTAATTACGATTAGAGTAGTAGGTTATTATTATCATCATCATCATCATCATCATCATCATCATTATTATTATTATACACGAGGAGTTACCCACGAGGTAGGCGTGACTAAGCTGCGGAACCGCTTAGGACGAAGACGCTACCTTAAACGTTGCAGTGTGTGTATGTGTGTGTGTTTGCTTCTTTTTCTGCTGCAGTGGCTGTGGCGGAACAACCGGTCCTTTGGTCACCGCCTTCAACCACTATAAAAAAAAAAAAATCTACCCAAGCACTTATAACTCGACAAATACAATTTTTTTTGTTTTGTTTTTTTAATTAAAACTTGCGTTTTAACTTTTAATTTTTTTTTTTAATTATTAAATTATAGTGACAACACTTTATACAGTTGGCTCTACTTAACTTTAGGTTCACTAAATTAAAGTTGATTTAACCAAGTTTTTAATCTACCAGACTCTAAAAAAAGTTATAATGCCAACATTGACCAGGATCGACTTGACCACCCTGAACGACTTTTTCGAGACTTGAGTTGAATGTCTTCACATACTTTTTATTCGTACCTACTCTCAATGAGTTATGTACATTTTTTCTTGCATTTCAAGCTGAACCGAACAATAAAAAAATAATTACACAACACCGTTATACTATAAATACCTTCTCGACTTCAAATCCAAGTTAAAATACATTTTGACCACTGACCGCAGCGAAAATTGCGGGATAACCTGTCCTGGAGTAATTTCATTCGTCCGTGCAGCTTATGAACTGACCTCGTGGTTGAATTTCGCATGTTAAATTATAATAACAGTTGGTGTGCATTTTATAGCCAGTAGGACGTAACGCGTGTAAATAAGAATATGTTATTATATGTTTTTAAACCGATTGTTAAAACAAAAATTGACAAATGATAATAATAATAACAATAATGAAACCGTATAGACACGTCTGGAACTCGTGACGGCGAAACTTCGGCTTTGGGCATAGTCGCGGTATATACAGCGTGGAAGTTGAGGTTTTGTTATTTTCCAGATAGAAATCAAGATAAAAAAGAACGCAACATTACCTAAACCGATAAATCAAATTTTAGTAGGTAGCAGCAGCCACATATTGTAATAATATTATGTATACTGTATAGGTATTGGGTAGAGCACACGGCGGCCGCCCGTGACCCCGACGTGGCTATCGTGGAGAGGCGGAGAGAAAACTACATTTAATATTCCCGGGTCTATTGTTTTCATACCGCTTTTTTCCGTTTATTATTACATATACACACACATGCACATGACGTATGTACACGTATGCACGGTATATTATGAAGTAAGGGCGAGAACACGCCCACAAGGCTATCATTAGGTACTCGCGGAGAACACCGTGAGAGAGTTAAATGTTTAAAATTGTTATAATTGCTTCTGAGGTCTAGAAGGGGCAACGTCAGACGATTGTCTTATGCATTTCATTAGGAAGCGGTAGCCGAATAGTTTACGTTAATCTGTGGATACTTCTTTTATTTTTTATATATAAAATACAAAAGTTCGTATAGAAACTAAAAATACTCGATTGACAATACACAAGTACTTGCTGTATAAATGTCAGTTTAGCCCGAAAGCAGTATTGTATTTAGTACTCATAACTCAAGTAATAATAAATAACAAAACTATTGTCTGTAGTCCATTTCATATGAGATATTATTGTACAACATAATATCTTCTTGTAAAGTATAGGTAGGATAGATGCGGTTAGTAATTCAACATTTTGTACTTGACTTTACCGAATTAATGATATTGCTGACTGAACATTTAGTTTAACGTTTTTGCTTCTAGTCTTTCCAAGAAATTGAAAAAAAAACGCACTCAAGCTATTTCATTCAAAGTTGAATAGATATTTTTATCTTAATATAAATTTAACAACACTTTTTGGTGTCGATATTCAAAATATTATATATGAATATAAATTAGGAGTTCTGAAATAGGGATTAGATGTCAAGGAATTATGTTAACTTTAAATAAATAAACTATAAGATAATAGAAACGCAGGAAAGACTATAATAAATGCAATCAATCATTTTTAAAAGATAAAAAACAAAAATGTAAGAAATAATTATATTTTATGATTTCATGTATTTTAGTTTGATATTGACATAGTAATTTTTTTTCCTAATTTAATTGTCGGAGTTAACGTTAGGTGGTTTATAGGTTTTGTTAGAGTTGACTTATCGCCCTATCAGATTATTAGTGTACAAACTCAAAAAACACGTTTCGAGATATTGCATATTAAGATTTTATTATTTTCCATATACCTAGTTACATGATAAAACCATTGTTATTTTATATTACAGTTATTACAGTTTATATAACAGTTTGACTCGTTATATACTAGTTCACCGTAAAAAAACATGATTTTTACCATAAGAATTAACGTTTAACCCAAAATCGACCATTTTTGAGATGCTACACTGATGTCTGTTGTAATGTAAGTTTTTAAAAACACGTTTATTTTATCGAAACTTATCATTTCCCCGTGGCCATCTTCACGGGGCTGTCATATAATTTATACAATAGTTAATACTACCCGTACTGTGGTTGTATACAAACAATTATAACAAAGCTCTTTGGACTTTGCGGTCACACGCCGACGGCCATATTGGTATACGTCCAGCTCGTAGGCAATCGTTGAAACAATCGTTTGTTTTGCCGACGCACCGATAACCATCGATGGCGGATGACCGAGCACAGCAGCTGATACGATCGTGCCGATGAACACGAAGACGAGAACTGATAAATTAAACACACTATCGTCTTAAATCAAATTTCGATTTCTTTCTTTTTTATATGTCGATTAGACCGATTAATGTCGGTTTAAACGGTTGTTTTTCGCGTCGTCTACAATGAATCTGTTACGAGATCACATTCATCTGGCCGGCAGGACGGCAGAGATGTCGGGCACATGGTACTATCCCCCGACGGTGTTGGACGAGGACGGTTACCTGTGGGGCAGCTGTGCCGACCACTTGGACAGGATGTTCGAGAACCGGGCGGCCATGCGGTATTACTACAAGTCTGTGCAGCCGGACGCGCCGGTGCCGTTGATAGGCCGCAAGGAACACGTGGCAGTGGCAGTGGCGTTCGTCGAAAACCTTATCACTTACTATCAGCCCCTTTTGGCCGTGGACGGACTACGTCACGAACTCAGGATTCAGGCGGTGGCGTTGATCAACGAGGCAAAAGTGCTGCTAAACTTCTTGACTTCTATGAGGCCTTGAAAACTTCAAATATACAAGTACACGCGATAATAACAATTATTGTTATTCGATGTTTCAACTTTTGTCCAAATATACATACAATGCAATAATATATACAATACCTAATTGTTTTTAGTTTATTTTAATTGTATAGTACTTAAACTTACTAATCGAATTAATTTAAATCATAGCTGCAATGTGCAGTCGATAATTACAGTGTCTAATTAGTTAACGTTTAATAATGCAACTATTAGTCAATCTATGAGACACAAAGGTCAATTCCTAATATAAATAAATCGATTTCCTTGTCTGCATGTAGACGAGGGACAATATTTTAAGTAATTTTGTTTTTCGTAAAGGAATTATACAAAATTTATAATAAGATCAAAGTATTGATATTAGATAAAAACATAATTTTAACTTATAAATTAAATGTTATGCTTTATATTGAATGCTTGGCAAACTTAATAAATAGCTTGCATCTTTAGGCCAAGTTATATTAGATAAGATTGAAGATAGAAAAAAGTGTTAGTTGTTTGTAGTTATGTTGTTGTAATAATTATAGATATTGACTCAACATTAAAAATCCGTTATAGCATCTGTATGGCATTAGATAGCAGCACAACATATTATAATTAGTATCTGAATTAGTATAATGAGTGTATATTCTGTTGTCAAACTTTTTTTAAGAAAAAACTAAAAAAAGTGGGAAACTTACACTTTGGTTTTTGTAAATTTCTAGGTGGTTATGCATATGTAAGAATGAAACAACAGGTATTTGAAAAATAGTTGTATTATGTTGTTAATTACGAAATATTTGGGAAATAACGACAACAAATTATTATAGACAAACGATCAACCCTAATACTAAAAATACTATTTTAAGCATATATTTAATATATTCATTACATTGTCTTTGTTGGTATCTGTATTTTTAGGTATCGAAGCGGTTATTTGAAAGTGATTTTATAATTTTCAGTTATAATATTTTCTGTAGATCTGTGACCTTCCCCACAATATTCTTCGTCACCGCTATGGCTTGACCCCACTATACTTGTTTTATATTAAATGTAATATTATTTAAAATGGAGGAATAAATAAATAATACGTCGGATTAATTTAAACAGGTATACCATGTGCAATTGGGCAAAAAAGGTCTTAAATTATAAATAGGAATCAAAAACCTAATCATATTTTTAAAATGACATTTATTTATAAAAAAAATAGTTAAAAATAATAATAATTAAAAAAAAAACAACACATAAATATTAATATAAATATAAACATGTATTATGCAAAATCTATATAACATAAAAAAATACAATTCTACTAATTACAAATACAGTCTATTCGGTTTGTCGTTTTAATGTTACCGACAAAAGTTTAATACCGGTTCAGTAATATTATAGTGATATCAAGATATCATATTTTGTTCACAGACGAGTGACTGACAGGTCGTCATGATCCGCAAATGGCGTTGACCGTAAACCATAATATTATTATTAAACTGATGATTGTGCGTTATATGAATGGTGATAGGTAGGCGTGTTGCGCACACGTTTTCACTTCGTCTAATTGCGCACACTACACACTCATATCATATAATAATAATAATAATAATAATAATATTATTATTACCTATTATTCGATGTCAGTAAAGTGTGTGTGTGTGTACAATTTCATATTAAACCAAATATGATTTATCTTTGGAGTTTGGCTGCGTTCGTTCACCGACAACCTGTCCTTAATGTCATGATTTACTGGAAGTATCTTGTAAGTGCGCGAGTTGATTACTATTTAATTTACAAAGACATAATAATATTATACACAATATAATAATACAATACTTGTGCTTGTACGACCGTCTCAGTAAATGGTCGCATAATCGTTTTTTTTTATTATTCTATAATTTATAAATATATGCGTTCAATTAAGTATGTTATTTGTTGTTTAATTAATGCAATACAACCTCAATATTGTAAACTTTTTTATAGAAAAAACCGTACCTGTAGCTTTATACGCACAGCTTTACCAACTTTGAAAAACAATAGTTTTTATTAGCTTTTTGAGAAAGAGAGACTTTGAACTATAGGGTATGTCGATAAAATGTTTTTAATTAGTAGTTGATCAATTATTGTGAAACGTTATTTTTTCCTTAAACTTGTTATCTAAAAATTAGGATTTATATTTATAGATAGCCATTTAAAGCAACTTCCTATCCCGTGTAAGATTATAAAAGCTATATAATATTAATCAAAATATCACTTAGAAGAACGTTAAGCCGGGTGATCCTAAAATATAATTATAAACGATTCATATACTGTCAGGCGAAAGTATATACTAGTATGAATTAAATGTATAGTCGAAGCAAATTATTATTAGTACGATATTGAGCGTTTAAAAATACATAGCGCTAGATTTAAAATGAGTTTCCATTATATAGGCGGCAAAACAGCACGACGCATTTCTCTCCGTCCATCTCGTCAAAATGATATAATATTATGAACACTCAACAGTTGCTGACGTTTTGAACAAAATTAAAAATCCCGTCAATCAAGTCAACCCTTCTTTACATTGTTTTGTTGTGACAACTGTCGGAAATAATAACGTCGTCTTTAATTAGCAACTCGGTAGTTAAAATGCACATCTCAGATGTATATGATTTAGTACTACTTAGAATTTGTTTTAGTTTTAATGCGTGTGCGTGTGTGTAATATATTAATAATTTATTTTTTATAAATGGTAATCAGAATTTCATATTACACCTAATTTTCTTATGATATACTACCTAAATTTAAAAAAAAAATGACCGAAACATTTTTCATTTTTATAAAACAATAATAATTTCAAGTTTTTTTTCTATCAGAAGCCAGATTATAGGAGGGGAGGGAGTGTATCTTTTGAAACTTGTATGTTTTTTTAAAATTAAGAATAACTTGCTGAAAATGTTTACTTAGTCGAAAGCCAGTTTGAATCATTACTTTTAAAGTTATTAAAGTTTAAAATTTAGGACGGTGGCTACTGTTATTATTATTAATGTCAAAATGGTTTCAACATAGGCGCAAATAGGGGGGGGGGCTAGGGTGGGCTTAGCCCCCCCCAAAAAAATTAGGTTAGTTATACAATTTTGAAATACAAAAATATATTTACTTATATATATATTTTAAAAAATTGTCTAGCCCCCCCCCCCAAGTTAAAAATTGAAATTGCGCCTATGGGTTTCAATTATTTGTATCACTTTAGTGATGATTTTGTTCAAACTTCAACTATATTAATCGTACAGCCGAAACTCGTAAAACCGAGGTTATCCTCTAAAAACAATTTTTTTTTTGTTAGCAGCCCAAAGGCTGGTTGGCAGCAATTTTCCACTCCTGACGCTTCTCAGCTTTCCTTTTTAATTGGCAATAAGATCCGCAGTCCATATCTCTAACTATTTGACTAATGTAGTCCAGTGGCGGTCGCCCTCTGCTGTTATTCCCTTCAATGGCACCTTCTATTGTCCTGCTAAGTAGACTGTTATGGCGCAGCATATGTCCAATTAAGAAAATTCAACTAATATTATACCTTTTTTTTTTTTTACTCGACTACCCAATATCATAGACGACGCTACGTTTACACGGCCGTTGTGTGGAACGTCGCAACTAGCAGGTATTTAATTTTAACAAAGCGGGAAGTTTATTTTTTCTTTACCCACACATGACGCGTAAAAGTAAAAATTTGTCCTTAGCATTGTGAGTGTTTCTTTTTTTCGGAATTCCCATGTCTCGGCGGAGTTTAGACGACTTGGTGGAGATGTTTTAATAACGCGTGTCCCGTCTCCGCACTCCTATACACCGTGCAATGGCTCGCACGTTATAATATATTATGTGTTAATAATTTATAATGACGATCTCGACATGACAGGAAACCGTAATAATTAGTGTCCGTAAACGTATCTAACGCGCTATGGTGTGTGTGTGTGTGTAGGAAGTTGACGAACTTATGTAAATGGACCGTGTACACAATGGCGGTATGGAGACGAAGAGAGGCCAAGGGATGGGTCTACGGCACGATGGAACTGTCAACGGGCGGTTGACGGGACCGTTTGTCAAACAACGCGCGCACATACACCGTCGTACGGTGAGCTTATAAATTATACTATACGGGTCTGTTCGTCGGTCACGTGTCGTTTAACCGCGGCAACGATCGACGGAAAAAACCAAGACACGTTTTTCACATGTAAAACACATCTACAGGCGCCTCGAGTAATGCAATGTAATCATTGTGTGTGTGTGTTAATTAACGCACAACAAATTTCAACACGTGTTTCCGTTTCGTGGACGTTGAAATCCCCAAAAAAGCCCGCGACAATATTTTTTATTTCATAAAATGTAAACGCCTTGCGGCTTTTTTATTACAATGGATGTATTACAATAATCTAAAATATATTTTGTTTTTTTTTCTAACACATACAGTATAGTAATAATTCACAGTAATCGTGTCGTTTCCCCTGTATTGGCATTTGTTGGATACATGGCCCTTCTTCAACTTTGCTATCCCGTAAAAATCAACTTGCAACTGGAGCTAGATAAGATGAACCATGATGGTCGAGAATTACACCTCAGAACTCGAATACCAATTCAGGCCAAGAGTATCTGGGAATCGATAATTCCAGACATAATGAACCACCAAGAAATCTCCTATCCGCAATCTTCCTTCGTTTTTCAAGTGTAGTGATTTTAAGTGGGTTTTGGGATAATTTTGCGCTTTCATCAAACGTAGGAATTGGTTTAGCAGTCTTCAAAAAAATTCACTTGTACAACGGTTGAGTACGTTGAAAGGTGTTCAGTTAAAAAGCAAAGGAGGTCGACACTGAGGCTTAAGGCCTAGAAATTTTTCACTCTTTTTTACGACAGCCTGACACATACAAACCTAAACGATTATTATTTAACACTAAGATACCGTACTGAAAAGGTATAATAATATATTACAGCGATCAAACTATGGTAACCGTCGACATTATATAAATAATACGATTTATA